GGATATATATATATAAAATTTATTTATTTGTTATACAAGCTCTTCATACATCCTGTTAACTACAGTCTATTTGGGAACATGTACTGGCATGACAGTTGCAACAGACTGATATTTCCTACGTTAAGGCTAGGCCAGTAGATTGCCCTGGTTTTGTTTCTAAGCTAAGGTAATTATATCCTGCTAGTAATTTACTCCTTGAATCTAATCTAACCCTGATTTCTGGAAATCAGGGAGTTGTTTCAAATATCCAGAATGACACATTTACAAATGCTAGGAGTAAAATAATACCTAGATCTCTTGATAAAACATGTAATCATCTTCATCTTCTGTATCTGAGAAAGAGTCCTTCTGCCTCATGGTGGACAGCTTGATAAAACTTTGATGTTTTCATGCTCCAGCCATCCCATCAGTCATCCCAGGAGGGTTTTCCTACATTTATATTCATATTCAAAACCTCTGAAATAGAAAAAAATTAGATGGAGAAATGTGAGGGAAGAGAGAGAGAGAGAGTGTGTGTGTGTGAGCGCTCGTGAGTGTGTGTGAGAGAGATGATGTGCAATGTGAAAAGTTCCAGTATTTTAACCTACTTCCAGCACAGTGATCATGTTAAACTCTCTTCACTTGCAGAGTTGTCACTTTCTGCTGAACAGACGCCATTCTTGTGCAGTCATAACAGTCTAGAGTCACACTGTAGAAAAAATAATGTGGACACCTTAGAAATACAAGCCTAATAAAGCTGTGCATGTGTTTGCTTCATGTTTCTTTTACATAGGCCCCATTTCATTTCTATTAGCATGCCTCTTTTTCTGTAGCACTCATGCAATACCGTGCTAACTCTTTCTCACTGTTTCACACCAACTATTTTTCAGAGATTCCTAAAACAGAAACCAACTTTGAAGAACGGCTCATCCTGAAAGCCTTCTTACTCAAGTTTATGAACGCATATGCTCCCATCTTTTACGTGGCTTTCTTCAAGGGACGGTAAGCCCTCTGTGTTTGTGTTCACCATTGTACCATGAACACCACATCTGAAATGTCACCTATAAAATGACACCCACTTCTTTTTAGTGTCACTACTGGGACCTAATGTTTTTTTTTTTTTTTTGTACGTTTTTGCAGGTTTGCTGGACGCCCGGGAAATTATGTGTATGTGTTTAATGATTTTCGGATGGAGGAGGTGTGTGATTTTTACCTTTAAACATAAGTTTGTTTTTCATTTGGATTAGCGAAATTGGATTCAAAAGTTACAGTGTAATGTGTAAAAAAAATAAAATAAAAAATGATATGTATCCCCCAGTGTGCTCCAGGAGGGTGCCTCATTGAGTTGTGTATTCAGCTCAGCATCATCATGTTGGGGAAGCAACTAATCCAGAACAACATCTTTGAGATTGGCATCCCGTAAGTCCATCGATTTGTATGAAGATAAAAATGAAAAGAAGCAGTCAGGCAATAAGATTGTCCCTTGTATGTGTTTGATTGCTAGTGTTTGATATCATTTGGACATTGACATAATGCTTTCCCCAGCCGCTTACTCTAACCCTGAAAATCAAAAATGAATACCTTACCCTAAACCTATGCCAGTGCACTGAACCTATAATTAATGGCTACAGAAAAACCATGCTCTTTATACTTAACCGTAACCCAATTATAAACCTGACACCAACACCACATTTTGAGCCTCAACAATGCTTTCAAACACATGGGGACGAGTGTTTTGTGACTGTTGGTCCCCACAAGTATAGTAGCATGCCAATTTTCTATTCCCACAAAGATGTCTAAACGTGTGTACACACACACACACACTGACAATTTCTTGCAGCATCTGCTCTGCCCTTTCTTGTTCTAGTAACATTCCTTCCATGTCTGGACAGTGGTTTTGTGCAATAGCTTAGCATTAACATGCAAATCTGAAAGCTCAAAGGTCATCTACGTTTATAACAGATGTCAACCAGACACCCTTTCTAGCTTCAGGCTACACTTTTATTGTTGCTTTACTCACTCATTAGGTGAGCTTCATCAAAAGCTCTGTTAGTCATCTTGATGGATCTGCAAGTCGCAGCACATGCAATCATATCTGCATGCCATCCTTTCCACTGTTACACATTCATCTCCTTAAAAGTTTCACACCTGGTAGAATTGTTGTGTGCAGGTGTGTAACTCATCACATGTGCCCTGTTGCTCCATGTGTGTTTATGCAAACAAAACATAAAAAATATTTAGGTTGTATTGTATATCCCTTCACCAAACTGCAAACACACATGCATATTTATGGTTGTATTACTCATGTGAGAGTGCATTCTTAGAGAAACACCCATGCTCTCACTTTCCTTCACTGTCTCTTCAGTTCTCTGTTGGCTGTTCCCTTTTTCGCTTACATAAAAACCCTAAAACATTCAGCCCCTGGCTGTCAGTTCACTGGGTTTTCAACAAACATCAGCATTTCAGCACCTCTGTAAATACTTATTTTGCTATTATGTTTCACAAGCAGTCTGCAAATCTTTTATTGTTCCAGCTAAGGTCTAGAGAGTTTTAACGACTCTGTGCTGTGCTAGAAACTCCAAATGCGATCGTTTTGTTGGAGTCATTGCACTCATTCAACTGCATCGGTGCCACCTATTTTAGTTTCCAGCTTTGATATCTTTTACTGAAAGTAAACAAGAAAGCAGGAATTGTGAGTGGAAGGTATTCATGCCCTGCCTGTGACAACTTTAGAATGGATTTTTGCAGTAGGGATTAATCACAGCTATAACCCAGCAGTCAGTTGGAGCCTTACACATATACTGTATGTGGATTTCAGTACAGTTGCAGTAAAGGTAAAGTCTTTTATTATCTTTGCACTTTCATCTTCCTTCATTTTAACAGGAAATTGAAGAAATTGGTCCGTACATTAAAGGAAAAAGAAACGACACCAAAGGCGAGGGAGGAAGAGAAGCCACCTCAGCAGTGGAACCTGGACTATGCCCTGGCTCCCTTTGAAGGCCTCACTCCAGAATACATGGAGATGAGTGAGTATGCATGCACACAGAGAAAAATGGCCTCACAGTCTGTAGCCTGAAAACTTATATAAGACACATAAGACGTTTACATTATGCTGCTTTCCAACAGATGTCACTGCAAAACTGTGCAGTGCTGTGAGTTGATGAACTCTGTATACTACAGTGGAATGCAGGGACATTTACAGGAAGGCAAGCAGAGATGAAAGACAGAAAATATTAAAAACAGGAGGCATTAGTTTTTAAAATAAGAACAATAGTATTTAGAATATTTATTTATAATAATGGCAAGGATTCCAATAAACCACTGTAAGCTGGAGCTGCCCAACTTATCATTGCCTGACACCACTCCATGCTATTTACGCCATTTTAAATGTATAGGCTTGCCATCAGTGTTGAGTGTTTAAAATCACCTTGGATAAGCAACAGCTTCTCAGTTCTTTGTATGGCATCTTAGACAGGTAAGATGCCATACTCCTCAGATACAGTATCGAGGATACTTGAGGGCGCATGAGAGTTTGGCCAAGAAGTTTATGTGTTTTCTGGACTTGGACATGGCATTCGACCTTGTCCCTGGGGTGTCCTGTGGGAGGTGCTTCGGGAAGCGTGATACAGCTGTTGCAGGAGTTTAGTCCGCTGGCAATAAGTCGGACTCGTTTCCGGTGGGTGATGGGCTCTGCCAGAGCTGCCCTTTGTCACCGATTCTGTTCATAATTTTTAGGCGTAGCCAAGTGGCAAAAGGCTTCCACTTAGATGATCTCAGAATCTCATCCCTGTCTTTTTGCAGATGATGTAGTTCTGCTGGCTTCATCAGGTGATGGCCTCCAGCTCGCACTGGGTGACATGTTAGATATCAGTGAGGTTGCTGACTGGCAGCTTTGAACTCAGTGAAACCTTGTAAATGTTGTTTTCACAATACGGCTGAATGCTATGCTTTACTGTGAACCCTGAGAGAACAGACTTCTTGTTTTATTGGATTTTAAATCATTTTGACCATGTTTTTAACTCTGTGGTACTGACAGGTTTTTGGTACCTGGTGGCGCTGTGATTAGCACTGTTGCCTCACAGCAAGAACTCCAGGGCCTTTCTGTGTGGGGTTTTCTTGTTCAATCCGTGTCAGCGTGGCTTCTTTTCGGGTACTCTGGCTTCCTCCTGCAGCCCAAAGACATGCAGTTATTAGGGATAGGTTAACTGGTGATTCTAAATTGTGCAAACTCTCTGTCTGTGTGTGTATGCACGAGCACGTGAGTGCCTGTGTGTGTGCGCGTACTCGTATGTCTATGTGAGTGCACGTGAATGAGTGTGCATGTAGGTGTGGGTGCATCATAACAGTCAGAGCACTGTGTGTGTGTCTCTGTTTGTGACTTCCTGCCGGTCATAAAAGTAATCTCCTCACCTGAGCTACACCAAATTCCTCTACACAACAGAGAAAACGGAGTTAACATATTACAAACACTGAGACCCCCACCCAGGTCTCCCCTGGGCAATTTCCACTCAACATTAACTTCTCTTTGTCTTACTTTCACAGTTCAAAGTGGGTGGGCCTCCTAGAAATCTACTCCTAAATTCATTACACACTCAGGCCTTTATTGCATCCAGGGCAGTGTCAGTGTCTCTACAATAATTCTACATCATACCTAACACATTTCTAAACTCTCAAATAAGCTACGCATATCTTCAATACCCAGCCTGCTATAGGGCGAGTTGGATGAGAGGAAGAAGATGGATGGATAGAGGAGCATTTGGACCCAGAAATTGTTACTTACTTCAAACTTAAGAAGCAGATTTAAAAAATTTTTGAAGCTCATTAGAAACAAAACAAAGCATTTTGTATCTCTCATCAAAAGGCACAGCTAAAACACAACAGCCAATACAGTGAGGATAACCTATGACAGGGGAGAGTAAATTCCATGCATCATGCCTGTTTTGCAAACAATGAAGCTAGTCATATTGTGACTAAATTTCATTTAAGCCCCAACATTTTTCTTTGATTGGTTGATTACATTTTTTTGAGTCAATCTAATTCAGAGTGAGCTTGTGAAACTGCCTCTTTCAAAAGGTTTTACTGAATAGATAAATGAACATACATTTGAACCCTAATTTTGTACAGAGAATAAAAGAAAACAAGAAACTGAGATACAATCAACAAACAAATGAAAGACGTGCACTGTTTGAAGGAGACATGCAGCGCTGGCCTCCATGCTGCACGGCTTGAGGTGTCTGATCATTTCCCCACTGCTGATAGAAGTCTAAGCGCTGCAGCAGTTTCACAAACATGCATCAACAAGCTTGACCTGTAAAAAAAAAAATTCGTGTTGATCTTCGTGAACCCATAAAATGGACCGTGTTTTCCTTGGATATCAGTGCCATATAGAACTTGTGTAACAGTGTTTTCAAAGTGAAGTTTTCTTGGCAGAATTTGATGTTTGTGGGAACCTTACACTTGGTTTCTATTAAGAGCATCAAAATGATGATAGTTTTATACTGCTGTAAAGTAATCCAGGTCAAACTGGATGAAAACCTGGTGATTTTTATGTTTCTGCTGTGTTTCAGTTATTTCATGTGACATGAATAGAGTGAGGACGGGCAGAACAAGAAGACTGGGCTGTAGCTGTAGGGCACACAGAGGAATGTCAGAAATGTCTGACACACGCACTGTAGCGAGTGTGTGTGAATGGATAGTCTGGATTTGTGTTAACTCATTTTTTAATTTAATGTATGCGCGTCTTTCTTTGTGTGACTGGGTCGAACTTGTTAACCTCGGCTCAGGTAGATGTTGGGTTATTCTAAGCTTGCCCTTTAGCGCTCGCTGTGCCTCGGCCGTATTTTCTTCCTTTCCACTCATTGTCTCAGTGTAGTGTCTTGAGGTGAAGCCGTCAGTCTTCCGCTCACTGGAAATCCCCGTTCCCACACTGCTAAAGTTCCAATGCTCTGACAGAAGTCCTGCACTGGCCGCAGTCAGGAATACTGCCTTGTGTTTCTCAGGTTTCCTTTCAGCATTCTTCACAAGCGGGTGAACTGATCATGAGACGACTTGTTAGACAATTTATTGCTCCAAACCCAGCCCCATTTTGCTTTGTCAGACCAATCAGACTGTAAGCCCACCTTGAGGTACCCCTGAGCAAGGTACCGTCCCTACACACTGCTCCCCGGGCGCCCAATGGCTGCCCACTGCTTCACTGAGTGAATGGGTTAAATGCAGAGAGCGATTTTCCCCACGGGGACCAATAAAGTACACTTTCTTCTTTCTTTTCTAAAGGTTATTGATGCTAATATCATATGAAAGCTTTTACAATACTAAGTGGAGAAAAATTTGTATCACAGCAAGATTTCAGTTGATGTCACAGCACATTTGCTCTAACAAATACTAGTCCAGTTCTACCCAGTGTCCAAATAAACTGCCTAACTGCCTTTATGGTCCTCAGCCAAAAATCCAGACTTTATACTACTTTCTAGATTACTGCTTCCATTCTGTGTGGTTAAAAAGAATGTATTCATCCATCTAAACCTATTGTTTTTAACTAACATCTATGGTTATACAAAACCTACACGGATATATTGATTATGATGTTTGACAAATTCAGATTAAATCCACCTGATTAAATATCTCAGTCACACAGCACACAGTGTAGATGCACACCCCCATTAAACACTGCTTAATCATAAAAATGTCTCAGCTTGGCTGCTGCTGCAGCAGAGGGTTTAACCATAAAAGGCATCTTCTGAACCACCAAAAAGCCCAGACAGACAGTGTGACTCTTGACCAGACAAATGACTGTTCACAAATGTCAATCCGAGGGTGTATTAGTGGCTACTGAAAAAATGTGCTTCCTGTGTTGTGGGTTTGATTTCCTTCTCATATTGCGTGAGATGTGGAAGAGCAGAAATACAATTGGAACCCAAAGTATTTGAGCAGTGGCGCTTCTTTGGTAGCTTGCCTATAGTGGATTTTAAACAATCAATATGTGATTGAATACTTAGATGCAAATTTTTTGAAGGCAGTTACCGCCTGAAGCCATCAGCATCACCAAATGTAATAGTTTAAATTTGAGATGCTCTTTCAGGCCTTTACTGCAGCTGCTTTCAGTTGCTGCTTGTTTGTGGGTCTCTCCGCCTTCAGTTTTACCTTCAGTCACCGAAGATTGCTGTCTTGGGTTGAGATCAGGTGACTGACTTGACCATTTAAGAATATCCCGTGTCTTTGCCTTGACAAACTCCTGGGTTTCTTTTGCAGTATGCTTTGGATCATTATCCATGTGCACTGGGAAGCACTATCTGATCCGTTTTGCAGCATTTTTGTGAATCTAAGCAGAGAGTGCAACTCTGTGCTCTTCATAGTTTATCCTGTTACTTCTATCAGCAGTCACATCATTATTTAACACTATTGATGTGGTTCCAGTGGTTGCCATACGTGCCCATCCCATAACACTGCCTCCTCCATGTTTGACAGATGACGTTATGCACTTCAGAGCAGATTCTCTGCTTCTTTGTGCTTTTCTCTTAACATCATTTTGGTACAAGTTAACAGACAGATGAAAGCAAGATTTTCATCCCCAGACCTGTGCAGGCTCTTTTAGATGTTTTTTGGTCCAATCTGGGATTACTCTTTGTAAATGTGACCAGTGGTTTGCGCTACTGGTCACATTCTTCTGTATTTTCATTCATACTGGCAATTGTAGACGTTTGCCATTGTCACCTCTTTGTTGGTTTGTTGATGTTGTGAAGTGTTTTTTCCTAATCAAGGAAATAATTCTGTCATTTTGCACTGCAGTCATCTTCTATGGCCTGCTGAGTTGCCCCAGTGCATTCCTTCTTTTTATGAAGCTACCAGATTGTGGAAGATAAAAACTGCTTGTCTGTCATTTGTGCGATTTCTTTCAAGGCTATGAAAATGGGAGACTGTGTATAAAAGCTGATGTAAACAGTTAGTTTAATGCTTTTGTTGAACCAGCTGAAAGTCTGCACTTGAATTACATCCTGATCATTTGATTTAAAACACCGTGGTGGTGTACAGAGACAAAACTGCCAAAAACAAGCATCATCGTCCAAAAACCTGTCGACGTAACTGCAGCTTCACAAGGGTTAACTTGAAAACAGTTTTGAGGCAGATCCAGAGATTTTCAGTTAAACAACTTTTCTCTCCAAAGCAAAATGTGCCAAACACTGGGGCTTATGTTAGCATGTGACATAAACTTGAACGTTGTAAACATCTGATTTGTTTTACTTTTCAATGGTTCAATGTTCTTTGTGCCCTTGAGACATCATAAATTAAGTAATGTAAATTCATGAAATGAAACTTTCATGAGTCCCGTTTTTGTTTTGCATGAGGCTTTGGGAGCAGATGTATTGTTCATCTTTATACTTAGATCATCACATCATCTACATGTAGAATGGCCATTAATATCATCAGCAAAATTACAGTAGGAAGTATGGGATATATCAACAATTAACATGTAAGCAGTGTTTTTAATTGGTAATTGTAAATATTGGTTTAAATATAGAACTTATTTATCTGAATACATGTAGACAAATTACCAAAAAACTTTTTAATGTCCTATATTATACATCCGATAGATGTAATAACTATTTCTCTTTCTGCAGTCATCCAGTTTGGTTTCGTCTCTCTGTTCGTGGCTTCTTTCCCGCTGGCTCCTCTCTTTGCCCTGCTGAACAATATCATTGAGATCAGATTGGATGCCAAGAAGTTTGTTACAGAGCTGCGTAGGCCAGTCGCTGCACGAGCTAAAGACATTGGTAAGCTAATCTGACACTCAGTTTATGAATCGCCATTCTAAGCATCAACAAGATGCTAAAACTCATCTTAAACCAGTCTGATTTGATTCTTTGAGTTAGCAGTGGCTTCAGGCAGTTTGGCTAATCTCACTAATACACAGACTGAAACCTCTCAGCTTGATTTCCAAGCATTTTTCACTGTACCCAGATACTTTTAAAGAGGTTTAATAAGCCCAAAAGCCACACTGTAAGGCAACCGATTCAATAAAATTTTTCTAGGTAACTGATATCACCAGAATGATGGTTTGCCAGCGAAATAATTCACTTTGGATTATTAAAATAAGTAAATTCATAATCATCAGATGGATTATTTGTCTATGTGTAGCTAAGCTCTGGTCTATATGCAGATCACTTAAAAATTAGCTAACATTTGCATCACACTCAGTTATAAATATATCCTTTAAATACTTTATAGGTAAAGTTTAACTGACTGTCTCAGTCCCTATACAGTTTTATTACTGTACTTAATACAGACTTTCCTGTTTTTCCTGTTTATTCCCTTCAACTTATCCTTCTGTCTTTTTTGCTTCTCACCTTACAGGCATTTGGTACAATGTACTAAGTGGAATGGGCAAGTTCTCAGTCATTATAAATGTAAGTATAAACACAGTGTTCCACTCTTCCAGGTTTCTAAATTAGTAAATGAGGCAGATGCATGCAAAATAAAAACCTGAAGATAATTATTCTACAAATATTGTAGTAATATATGTGTTTTAATTACTTCACAAAACACCCGAACACTTAAACATTTATCACTGTTGGTGTAATTGGTAGTCAATTTAAAGTCCTCTACAGCTCAGTTTATCTTGGGGAAAATGGTTGTATAGTATATATGTTGCATATACTGCATGGATCTTCCACTTCTTCATGTCTTTATAAGATTAAATGTTACCTGTTTTTAGAGACCGGAGACAGGAATGCACTAACAAAGTTGGCATAATGGTGCATTTCCAGACTTCTCTAACACAGATCTCTGTGCTGCTATAAGATAGGTGAAATTCAAAGTGCCTTAGAAATTATCAAATGAAAGAACAGAGAACAAGTGTAAAGTGCAAACGGGTCCAAACAGATCTCCTTTGAGCAGCACCTGGTGAGGAAATCTTCCTTTTAAAAGGAAGAAACCTTCAACAGAACTAGTCTCTGGATGGGCGGCCATATTTCTTGACTGATTAGTTAATAAGTAGTTAAATAATTGTTTATTATAGATTTTTAATAAAAAAAAGATATTTGCAATTTTGGGGCAAATTTGACACGCAGGCATGGATAATGTGTGAAATACTCTTTTGGATCTGCTGATTAGACCTTTTGTCAATTTCATAACCTCATGAGATCCCAGAGTTGTATCTGAAATACATAAATATGCAATGTTTGTGGAGGGGAGGGGGAAGGGGGGTCAGGAAGGTTCTGCTTTGCATTTGTCTCTGGCCAGTGAGCTAAAGCCCATCTAGTTTACTTTTAATACTAAACAGATTTGTGGCAGATCCAAAAACAAGCAGCAGGAGTTTTTAATGTAATCTAGATCTGAGGGATTGGACACACACTGTGGACCGTGGCTGCTGGGGCTCTGTGGGTCTTCTCAGCCTGGCTGGGGGGCTTCTTTGCCTCTCTCCTGCTGTGTGCCCAGCCTGGAGGCTGCAGTCCATGACCGGCTCCCGGTGCAGACGGCTCCCTGTGATAGTGTTTCCTCACCTGGCTCATGTCTGTCCAGCCCAATTTTACTTTTTAAGTGTGTGTGTGTGTGTGTGTGGGGGGGGTGTATGTATCCATGATTGTTTATATTAATGAGAGTGTGGGGAGTGAGTTGGAGGGCAGGGTGGGGTGGGCTGCTTTTAACCATGTAAAGCACTTTGTGCTACATTGCTGTATGAAAAGTGCTTTATAAATAAAGATTGATTGATTGACCAAGAGCTTCACAACAATAACAGATGTGTATCTATCAGTTCTACTGACTTTAATGTTCCTTAAACTCAAATGTATATTAAACAAATGCACAGTTTACCAGATTTTTGCTCTTTGTAACCCCTGTCCCTCCTCTCACTGAAAAGAACAAGCATCAGTCTGAGGTTTTCTGTCCTTTACAGCTACAGATAGTTTGGCTTTGAGTAATAGCTGATCGTGTTCTGATTTGATTCTGGTCTTACAGTAGCTTAATAAGCTGCATTCTTCACTGTGAGAATGTTTCCTTAAAAATCAAATTGTTTGCATATATAAAAAGTGAAGGAAGAAATGTGAACAGCATAAAACATGATTCAGTTTTTATACTTTTCTATACCACTGGTCCTGACAGACAGACTGTTTCACTCTTTCTGTTTTGGTCTCTTTGTCTTTCTGTCTATAGGCCTTTGTGATCTCCTTTACGTCCGACTTCATCCCTAGGCTCGTTTACGAGTACATGTACAGTCCGACGGGCACCATGCACGGCTTCATTGACCACACGCTGTCCTACTTCAACGTGTCCGATTTAAAACCTGGCACAGCACCACAGAACTCTGAGCTTGGAAACATAACTTTATGCCGGTAAAACACACACCCTTGCTCACGAAGTATATTTGTAGCAATTACGTTTTGCTCACATTTCTGTGGGACGAGCACTTTTGTATTCAGCAAATAGCCAGTCAACATGGGGATACCTATTCAACTTGTTTATTCACTTGTCATACATGGACAAATCCTGTGCGTTTGGCCTTGTTGCTTTTGTTCCCTCAACTGCCAGTGAAGTATTTGGTGAGCATTCAAGAAAACATTCAGGCCAATTCATCTATTTTTACATCTGAGGAATTTAATTTGGGGAAGGATAAAACAGCATTTCTGTGTTTTGTCATAACTTATAATTTTGGCCTTTGCAGAAACATGCAAACAGTGTCTGTATTAACAATGATTCACTCAGATTATTATGTATAAATTAAGGTTAATGGCCCTTTAATCTTGACTAAAGAATGTTTGTTTCATGGAGTTGAAATCTTCTCTTTATATCTGAACTTGTATTTGAGTTTAGGAACTTTATTTAGTGCTTTGAACGTTTATCACTGGTCTCAAAAATGTTTCTGTGATAAATTTAGTTAAACGTTGCTAATTTTGAAAATCATTACAAGTTTGGATTGCTTAAGAGTGTTTTGTTTTGGGTACAACAAACACTTTTTAATGCTCAACCTGAAGGCCTGTTCTGCATCTAATATTAAACTCCAATCTGAGGGAAGGACAGCTGATTTATTGATTTTTTTTTCACTTGATTTTTCTTGAGTTGGGTTGTGCTACAGGGCTAAGGGCTGCAGTTGAATGAACCAAAAACCTTTTGTAGTCGTCACTATTATACCAAATATTGATGTATTAATATTTTGTGCTAGCTACAAATGTGAAACGCTCAATTAAACAGCGAGGAACTAAGTTCTTGATTAACACGCACCATCGCACCCTCATGCAAACTGTAATGCCACTTTGAATGTGGAAACAACAAGAATGGATTGGAAAGGCATTATTGCAAAATGCACAATTGTATCTTTTATGCATTTTCACTCATTCCACTGGTAAGCATCTCTTTCATAATATCAATATAAAGCTTTGCAGAGGAAAAGGTCATGGATGCCAGCGCCCACAGACAACTGAGGCCGACCTGCTGTTACATAAGATGGCAAAGAATTACTATGCGAGAATGCAGTCTTTGTACCACTGTAGGCTGATATGTCACATCGCAAGAATGACCAGATAGTGTTCGCCTTGAACGTTTCATAGGCGTGAAATTGGCTGCAGGATGTTCCAGGAAGATTTTTTGTGTCTGCAGTGAGCAGAGCTGTGTAGTCATGTATAGACTGTATCTAGACAGTGCTGCTGATGTGGGCAGTGCCTCTGGGCTCAGGGCAAATGATTCAGCTCTGAATTTCAGATTCTCCAGACAATGGTTGCCTTTTTTTTTCCCTCCTCCTTCTTTCTGGCCCAGTTAATTTGGGGTTCTGGACATATGGATGAATACATGCAATAGTCAAGATGAATGGATGGATAATAACTATCCATCCATTCAGAGGATGCAGAGATGAGGGGAGATATCATTGAACTGATGATCAGATAACAATACAAAGGAATGCTTTTTAAGACAGTAAGGAAACTGTTGAAATGGAAAGATATAGAAATACCAGTGAGGAAATGAATGAATGAAGGCAGGGGGGTGGTGATGCATATGGATGGGTGGATACATAGATGGATGGTGTGACAGAAGCTACCCACCAAGGTTTTACATTTTTAATAAATTTTTAAAAACAGCAGTGTGAGGAAGTTGAAGATTCTGCATCAGTGAGCAGAGCATGACTGTACATCTCCGCAGTCCTTTTTGTCCTACAGTGTTGTCGGTGTCATCAAAATTCTGAATGTGAAACAAAGAGTTAAACATTTTAAGACTATGTCAAGAAAAGGACATTTTCCTTTTCTATTTTCCATTTTTGATGATGTTGTGATGCTGATGTTAGCTGTTTTGTGTAAATTTATATGAAAATAGCAGTAACAGTGTATCTGGTTAAAGCTTTAAACAAATCATTTTTATATTATTATATCTTTTTAGTGTATAGCTATTTCAAAACTGTTTATTTAAGGAGATGAAATTTGAAGTGTGGGATGTTGAGTAGCCCCTGACGTAGAGTAAAAGCTCACTTTTAAAACAAACAAAAAAAAAATCAGTTTTAAAACACAGATTTGGAGTGGCTGTACCTCCTCTTATATCACATCTTTGACCTTTGACCTCCATGTGTCTGACATCTACTGATATAAGTTGGTTATAATAAAATTATATAGCTTGAAAGTGTAGATTTCGAGTGATTTACAGAAAACAAGGAACCTACCATTGTAGATGGAAATGTATTGAAAATCATAATCTTAGAGGAAAACTGTTAAAATTGCCATTTAGGTATATACCTGCTTTATATCAAGACAGTACTCACTCCTGAGCTGACAGGAAGTTGGCTTTGCTAACAGGCTTATCAGCAGGAAGTCAATTGAGGGTTAAGCGGTTATGCAATGGATTATCAAATAATTTGTAAGGAGAGGTTTCCCCTCAGCATTAGGAGAAAATATTCTTTATTTTCAGTGCTTGGTTTAGTAATTCAATTCAATTCAATTCAATTTTATTTATATAGCGCCAAATCACAACAGCAGTCGCCTCAAGATGCTTTATATTGTACAGTAGATCGTACAATAATTGATACAGAGAAATCCCAACAATCATATGACCCCCTATGAGCAAGCACTTTGGCGACAGTGGGAAGGAAAAACTCCCTTTTAACAGGAAGAAACCTCCGACAGAACCAGGCTCAGGGAGGGGCGGGGCCGGGCCATCTGCTGCGACCGGTTGGGGGGAGAGAAGGAAGACAGGATAAAAGACATGCTGTGGAAGAGAGACAGAGATTAATAACAGATATGATTCAATGCAGAGAGGTCTGTTAATACATAGTGAGTGAGAAAGGTGACTGGAAAGGAAAAACTCAATGCATCATGGGAATCCCCCGGCAGCCTACGTCTATTGCAGCATAACTAAGGGAGGATTCAGGGTCACCTGGTCCAGCCCTAACTATATGCTTTAGCAAAAAGTTTTAAAGTTTTAAGGAGTTATTAGGACATCGTGATAATAATGAATTGCAGTGGTCCAGCCTGGAAGTAATAAATGCATGAACTAGTTTTTCAGCGTCACTCTGAGACAGGATATTTCTAATTTTAGATAGATATGATACAAACCACTGCAGCGCATTACCTGTAATACCTACAGCGTGCTTTAATCGCCCTAATAGAATATTATGGTCAACAGTATCGAACGCTGCACTGAGGTCTAGCAGGACAAGCACAGAGATGAGTCCACTGTCAGAGGCCATAAGGAGATCATTTGTAACCTTCACTAAAGCTGTTTCTGTGCTGTGATGAGCTCTGAAACCTGACTGAAACTCTTCAAATAAACCTCTGCAGATGATCTGTTAGCTGCTTGACAACTACTCTTTCAAGGATTTTTGATATGAAAGGAAGGTTGGAGATTGGCCTATAATTAGCTAAGACTGCTGGGTCTAGAGATGCTTTTTGAGTAAAGGTTTAACTACTGCCAGCTTGAAGGCCTGTGGTACATAGCTGATTATTAGAGATTGAAGCATTAATTAATGGCAGGACTTCTTTGAGCAGTTTTGTAGGAATGGGGTCTAAAAGACACGTTGATGGTTTGGAGGAAGAAATTATTGACGTTAACTCAGAAAGGTTTAGTTATAAGTGAATCTGTTAAACATGTTGACAGCACTAAACATGAGACATTGTGTTTCCAGTATCAACTAATAGTACAACAGTAAGTGATATGACAAAGCTGTGTACTAACACTATGAGTCGACTCTAACCAGTGTAACCCTGTTAGTCATATTAGCAGCAAAAGACAAATTACTTTCAAATTGTCTTTCCTTTTTATAAAACCACATTTATCCTGTGTTGTACTATACATATTAAACAAATATGTTTTAAATACATATAAAAATTAGTAAACATTTCTGTAATCCTGAATATTTGTCACATTTATCATACAGTATACAGCCAAAAGTAATGAATTCCTTTAAGCTGCTATCATGTGTAATCCTGACTCTGACTTTAACCCTGTTATAATGTAATTTTTAATCAATTAATCATAAATGGTTTGATTAGCTGAGTCTGGTTTAATATATTGCCTCTGTATTAGTTTGCCATTACAGTATATTAATACTGTATTTGAGCAAATATTTGAAAATAAACTGGAGTTACAGCAAAAACAAAAATGTCACAAGTGAAATGTTGAACAAGAATTCTAAAACTTACTTCTTTAGGTTGGAGAGTATGGGTAATAGGGTTGTGACAAACATAGCAGAGTAAAAAAAAACAAAAAAACGTGAAACTTATAGGGAACACGTCAGGAGAAAGGTACAGTAGTGAGTGTGTACAGTAATCTGTAAAACATAGTGGAACACTGTCATGGATTGGCCTCCCCAGAGCCCAGACCTACAACATTACTGAAGCAGTGTGGGATAATTTTGACAGAACAGAACAAAAGTCAGTCGAAATCCAAAAAGCTTTGGAATGTCATTCAAGAAGCCTCTTAAAGACCACTACCAACAGACTGCTACTTTTAGCTACTCCCTTATGTATAAGGAGTTACTACAGCTCTATGTAAGATTTGGGAGTTTTATTTTGCCAGATGCCCTTCTTGAAGACTACTTGAAGAAATTACAGGAAAAGAATGACATGAAAAGTTTCTTAAAGAGTTCAGGCTGTGTTGAAGAACATTTGATTTGGTTTTCTGTCAGTTTATTATGTTCTTTGTGACGTAATACCAGACTGATTTGTCTACATCACGGCAACACCGAAGGTGGTCATATAAAATATTGACTTTACATTTTTTATTATTATTATTTTTTTGAATTGTACAACTGTGGTTTTGGCTTATGTTTTGTATTTCCATGTATGTTTGCACATTTAACTGAATCACATTTTCCTAGTGAAATATAAAGAGATGGGGACTGGCTCAAGACTTATATTACTGTACGCTGATTGCATTGATCCACATATAGTGTAAAGTTTAATACAGTATATACTGCCATTTGCCAGCATTAAATAATCCTCCATGTTTTTAGTTTGAAATGAAACGTGACCTCATTGGAAAAACAACATAAAATTTTGTGCCCCCAAAGTCTGCCCTCCTAAAGATTGCATCTGGCTCCATTTTCCTGCCTAGAGCGATCTAGAGACAATGAATAAACTGCACAAGGGTTAAAGGGGTTTGGGGCAAATGTGGGGTGATGCCAAACCTACCAAATAGATCCAATATGAAGCTCATATGTTCGTACAACAAACAGGATGATAGCTAACAGCAAACATGTTGTGTAACACAGGTTTACTGTGTATTTATTTATTTATTTATTTATTTATTTATAGATGGGAATGACCTGACCCTTATCTGGTCTGACCCCTTGGTCCCAGACGAACACGCTCGTCTCACATAGTAACCCTAATCTTATTGAGAGGTCTTCTGAAAGAATATTGAGTTAAATGCTTCAGTGCTGCAGAGCTCCACTATTTTAACCAAACATGGAGCTTTGAGAAAACACATGCGTGCACACACACAAGAACAGAGAGAAAAATCATCTTTGATAGCACAACTGTATTTGTGATTCCACCTAAGAAGTGTTAAGTGAATTAAACTGACAGAGACTGGTCTTATTTTATTTTTATTTCATTTTTTTTTTTTATATTTCAAGATGACCTAAAACAAAATGTTGCAAAAATATTACTGAGAGACTGAGAGACAGATGACTAGATCAAAGGAAAAAGAAAGGGAAAGAAGACTGACTCTCACGGACAGCATTCCTCACTCATGACTGTATAAGGAGAAGGAGTCAGGCATCATAAGACCATGCTAACACACACACACTGGCCCTCCCCTCCCTCTCTGTTATTTCTATACTGTTAGTCAAGTGCTTAGTGAGGCAGCTCATTCAGTCCCTTTAATTTATTTTGACTTCAGAGGAATTTTTTCATGACAGTGTGTGGAATTGACTTTTGTTGTGCAGTCATTTTAATGTAAAACTTTGATGTGAGACATCCTGTTTGCGTGACGTGTTAAACTGCCCTGCAGTTCGAGCTTCCTGCATTTCTTTTCTGTTATGCTTTTGTTTTGTTTCTTAGGGTTTGCAGTTTTAAATACATCTATGTAAAATATAAGTAATATAGTTTTTCAGGTTCAAGCTCTGTCATGATTTGCGGGTTTATTTGAGCCAGTGTTGTTGGGGATCTTCCAGAACTGATTGAGTTATAAATGCAGGAAAGAAATGACTGACTTTCTGACTTTCATGCTCAAAAGAATATTACAATCTCTGTAATTTCTGTGAAGGCTCTCAGTCATCCAGGTCATTGTAGTCTAAAGAGCTTGGAAAGAAAAGTGTCTGGACTTCTTTAAGTTGCTTGAAGACGTTTCACCTCTCATCCGAGAAGCTTCTTCAGTTCTAAGGGTCAAATGGTGGAGAGTCCCAGAATCTCTGTAATCATGTTTCCATAAATTGCTGCAGAAGTGAGAGAGGACCTTTGCACCACACTTGATCCAAGCAGTTAAAGTTTGAGTAGTTGATTGAAAATCGTTCTTTGGTTGTGCTTTTCATAACATTTTAAGTCTCCACTAAAGTACATTTTTAAGTACGGAGTAAATGTTGCTTTTTAACCTGATTTTGAGTGTCTCCATGTCTTAAATGTGCACTGATTCAACCTAATGTTGAATAGATGTCTACTGTCTATAGCTACAGCTCCACATAAAGCCAGTCTTTGTCTCCACACTCTTCTGTACATTTAGTGGTTTCAGACGACACGTTTTCTGCCTAAAGATGTGCTTGAGGTTAACAATAAGAGGGACTGTCTCCTAGTTCTTGGCTTCAAAGGAATGTTCTATGTTGTACTTTGCTTCCCACAGGAAAATGCAGCCTCTTTTACAATAGCTGTGAAAACGGAGGCCAAAAGCAGTGTAACATAAAGCCAAGTGTCATTCTCTACATATTTGTAGAAGGTTGGTCGATGGTCAGATTAGTAACCTGCTGCTGAACTCTGGTGGGCTTCAACGTTTCAGATGTTTACAGGTTAAGGCTGTTCAATGCTTTTACTGGCATTTTAGTGATATTTCATAACATCTCATAATGCTGCAGGTTGCAAAGGTCTCTCAGCCAGTTCCATAACATGCATAGTAGTATTGTCATTTGGAGTTTCAATACCCACAATTTTACTAAATGTGTTTAGATGGAGGTATTTTAACCCACAGTTATTGCTCATTGCCTTTCTTTTGAAAATGCTTTTTTTTTTAATCCTAAAGTAGGATGTAAAGAGGGTGCAACCTTCATTAAGGAGCGAGTGAATTTAAGGAACTTCGAAATCTAAATAATCTTGGCTGTGCTGAAGTTGGATCATCTAGACTGTTAGTTTATGTATGCAGTAGCTCAAATCAGATGCCTGTCCACAAATGCTTTTATTTTCTTGGGAAATTTTTTTTTTGTCAGTTTCACTTATTTTATTTTAAGAGAGAGTGGGTGGAAAATTGCCAACAAACCACTGAGGTTTTCTCCAACACTCACTCAGCAGGGTCTCTTTGATTTCATAATGCTGCTGAATCTCAAACAGTCCAGTTGCAACTTGACATTTGTTTTCTAATCCTCTCTGGTTGCATTTTAGCCAACAGATACAGAAGCAGCAGCAGCTCTGATACCTGAATGTACCAGCTGTACCAACTATATTATTCATGACTTTCTTCCAGCAGCAAATAACTCACATTTTTTCTCCAGTGTTAAAAAACCACTTTTTAAAAAAATGTTAAAGATATAATGAACCAACTGTGCTTTATTTATTTATTTTTTTAATTTCACGTGTTCACTCCTCACCTTCTTTTACCCTTGAACTGAATTTGGACGACATCTTTCTGTGATGATTAAAACAGACTGACACAATTTCTGTATCACATCTGGTATTGCTGATCCTGTGGGGACCGCAATCTAATTACTCAAGATTTGGGGAACGACAAATCCCCATAATCTCAGTTTGTGCTTTTTAGCATGATTGGTAAGGGTTTGGGTGAGGATAGTAGTAGTTATGGTTAAGTGAAGTTTCCAGGTATAATGTCAAAGTGTGAAGTGGTGGTAAAATGGCTCTACCCTGTCTACCTTTTTGTTGTGCACTTGGCTGTTATTCTTAGTCCTTATTATCTTATTCTGCCTCTGTCCTTATTTGGAGCATGTAGACAGTTTGTACAACATGTGGTTTGAGTTTCCCCATGTTTGTTTTGAAGGTACAATAAAGAGTGTTTACTACAAGGACAACAAATGAAAGGAATCCTGATAAAGTTTATTGCACTTTAAGTTTCTCGACTGAGCCAAGGAGCTATATGTTTTGATTAGGCAAGGTCTCAGCTAGAATAAAGATGCTGTAAATCAGTTTAATCTTAGGTTTGCCTCATATTCTCAAACTCTGGACTCGTAGATATTCTTGTCTCCATGGGTGTTTTATTTTTTTTATTTTTTTGTTCTAGGTATAAAGACTACAGGGAACCCCCATGGTCTCCAGACGCGTACCAGTTCTCTAAACAGTACTGGTGTGTCCTGGCTGCAAGGCTCGCCTTCGTCATTCTGTTCCAGGTGCAATTTCAGTGTATTACTCAGTTTCTGTTTTTTTTCTTTTTTTAAATCCTGTCTGCATTTGCAGCGATGCATATAAAAGAAACACGTGTGTGTGTGTGTGTGTGTGTGTGTGTGTGTGTGTGTGTGTGTGTGTGTGTGTGTGTGTGTGTGTGTGTGTGTGTGTGTGTGTGTGTGTGTG